ATAGTAAATACATAAATAAATGAAACAAGCTGAGAGGAAAGCAGATCAAGGGCATCCATGGTGCAGTGTGTAATACCCGAGCCCCTGGAAAGGGAGGATCGTGGTTCAATCTGGGCCAGGGTTCCAAGTTTTGCGAATATCTCAGCATTTCCTTGTTAATTGCGAAGTTTTCACATCTATTCAGCGTTGCAATAGTATGCATGGAACTTTGGGTACTTCCAGGAAGTCACAGATAGGTTTTCTGGATGTTTATGGTTCGTTTAAGAGTCGTTTGATTGCAGTGTATGTCGAAAAGTTGGAACGTAGTCTTTCTTCATTTTATCATGTACTGGCACGTGATCTGCTTCATTGCTTCGTTCTTCCTAAACTCTTCTGCTTCTTATTAATTTACTTTCTTTAATATCTCTCTAGATTACCATGGATAGGCAGCTTAAACTGATTTCTAGTCTTATACCATCGCAAGTGAAATTATCTGTCGTTATGCCTTCTTTCGCAAGCAGACCTTGGATCCGATTCGTTTCCTCGCAACCATACTTCATGAGAGTGTTCGTATTTGCTTGTGGATTCGGATGTTAGTTAAGGATTTCTGGAATTTTTTTCTAACGTTCAATGGTGCTCGAATTGATCTTCTGTAGAGTGCTAGAATAGTCGTGCTAGGGGGTTCTCAGGTCATCTTGATAGAAAGTCGCCAGTTTTTGTGGGAGCTGATTGCATGGAAGTCTGGGACGATGTTCCCAACTCTGGATGGGAAGCAACTGGCTTGACCTTGGTACAGTCAACCGCGACCATGCGTATGTTGCAATTTATCTGTAATGATTAAGATTTATGAAATCTCATTTTATTTATTAGAATGCTTGCTTCACGATCGCTGACCCTTTTTTGTAGATTTCGTTTTGTTCTATCATTGTCGTGGAATGGGCGCGTGTGGCGCAGTGGTTGGAAGTACCACTGCGACACACACATGGAATCGATTCTCATGCCCATGGCCCTCCAAGCCTTTCATCCCTCCGGAGTCGGCAAATTGGTACCAGACTTGTCTAGGAGGATAGCAGCACTGGCTCGATACATCGGTAGACCACCGCGAGTCATTGCAAAGGCCAGATATGGATTCAATCACTGCCAATGATACTTCACGCAGTCGAATGCACGGCGCATCCCTCAGGGATTCATCAACGCCGAGAGCTTTGTCCTTTTATTGATTATTTGTTGACGTGGAATGAACTTATTATGATGTAGCTGCTTTTAGCGAGTTATCTGGCGGTCTCCCAAGGAAGTACATGTACTAGTGTGTTCCTACACTTTCTACCTCGGCGCTCTCAGTGCGTTACAATATTTCATGTGTCTTTCATTGCTAAAATTCAACTTGATACTTGATACTTGAATGGCCCGTCGCCACTGGTTGTGCGGGCCCTGGCATAATCTCCATTTTTTAGAGATTTGCTGGTTGAGCCAATGTGGTTCCCTGGAGTCCCGTGGTCAGCCTGGCCAAAGTCTGCCCCAGGTCTTCATCACCACGGGCAGTCGCAATCCTTGTGGATTAGGGGGAGATTTGCCGCCATGCGACTTTGAAACCAGGACGGTGGTGGATCCTAGTATTGGTTTACTCTTAGATAGGTTCCCTGTTGGAAACGTCGGGCTCCTTCCCAGCTTGGGAGACCCTGCCAGGGATGAATCCCCGCTGTACATTGCAGTCCGACACCCAGGAACACCTCCCAGCCACGATGAGGCGATAAACCATCAGGAGGAAAAAATTCAACTAAATTAATAAAACTAAATCTTCAAGTGTGGTACTTTTTTATCTTCCGGAAGATGGTTGGAATATCCATCTTCTGGTAAGGCCAACAATCTTTACGTAATTAGGTTTCATGAAATGTATTTTTTTTCGCTCAACTTAATTATTCATGTTTTTTTCCTATTTTTTAAAAACATGCGTATAAACTGTCATAGAAGTTTTCTTACAGACCATCATAGAAACTAGCCATCTTGAAATTTCTTGCGTTCCAGTCTTGTAGTAACATTTCATGACAAGTTTCCTTAATTAGCAGCTTTACTTTCAAAGTTATCGATTTATATTTGATGGATGTAGCAGCTTACTGCTCTTTAAACTCGTTTATAATCCACGATTACAAGTTTAAGAGTCGCTAGTCAATTCTGGTAAATGAAAACCAGTTCCGTGACGTGGTCGCCTCGCTCTATAAACGGAGTTTGAAACCAAGAGCACTTTCATCCCGACCCGACACCACCAGGTTTTCAGTTCGTACATTCTTTCTTTCCTACATATATGTACCCTTTCATGTTTTCCTCCTAACCTTGTTGATTTCTTATTTGGAAGGTAGGAATTGATGGCTTCTTTGTTGCGCTTCGTAAAGTTCTCTTAAATTTTTCTGGTGGTGACTGACTCTCTTGACGGGTCAGTTTTGTCACTATGATTATTCCGTTCAGATTTCAGTTCTCTGGTCCTGCACATTGAAGATTCTTTACAAATCCGTCCTCTGTTTCAATTTGGCAGATAAGGTTTATCGCCTGTTTTATTTACTACTCGTCTAGCTCAAGTATCCTGGCCGTTTTTTATAAAAATGGTTGAACAAATCACCTACTGTGTGAGATCTATCATTGTAATCTTGGAACAGATCGTTTTTCTCTACGTGTTCATAAGAATTCTGTGATTGGTTGTTCAATGCAATACTTCCTTTTGTTTCTTAATGATTCAGCGCTGCGCTCCAGCAATAGGCTGTCTGCAAGAATTTCATTGCTTTGGTATCAAGACAGTCAATATTCACCATACTCCTTTCCCAATATTCTTCCCCATTTCGTGTCTGTGTACGTCTTTGACAAGCTTGTTGTGTACTTGTACTTATGGGATGTTTTCCGCGTTGTGACATCTGGCAACTACTCATCTTATCACCTTAATCCTTCATCTATCCGTCTGGTGAACTCAAGTGTTATGTCAATGATGTGTACAAGCCACGATCAACTGACTGGCGATGTTGACATCATGAGCGGTTTGATCGCAAAGGCTACATGAGCGCTTGCAGACAGTCCTTTGTAAATGCTATTTATTCACAACATATGTTTGTCATTTCTTCCTATCGCATAACTTTCCACCGACTGTTTCTTGTTTTCGTGTATCTTCTCATGCCGATTGCAAAATATATAGGACAATCGCAAAGCATCGACTACTGAGCAATCCCTTAGTGATGCCTCGTTCATTCCAATTAATTACGCGTCGTGGAGTTGACCGGCTAAATATTTCAGCTATACAGTAATATTGGGTGGAACAACGATGCATCAAGTAGGTGTTCCTATCTTGCCATAGAAGTCTTGAACCGCTTTGTCGACCCCGAAAGATTAGGGAGTTTGGTTAGTCCGTAATGCGGGATCGAACCAATGACCACGTTTGCGTTAAAGGATAATTCTAACCACTGTGCTGCGTGTGTCAGAAATACATTATACATATCTATATCTACCTTAATATGCATGTATATATATATATATATATATATATAATTGCTACGATGAAATATCTTTGCAGGCGATGTAGTTCGATGCATCTCTTTATTTAAGCAGTGTTAAGCTATTGTCGGTTACTAAGGTTTCTGTTTTGTTAACGATTTATTAACTAAAGTTCTTAATCTTTCATCATTCAAAGAATCGATTTTGTACTGAAGCGTGCAAGTAGGAATTTACTAGAAAGATCTCGTATTATTCATGACGAAGACCCTGCAACTCTGTAACTTCCCCCATTATTCGGCCGCAATGTTTTCCAAATATTAAACCACCTCTCATCACCTGTTGTTTTAAGTTAAATTGCTAACAGTTTATAAAAATTGGTTTGATTCGAACGATAGCTTTGCCAACGGCATAACTGCTACCGTATGTAGCCAACATATTTGTCGGCTTTATTCTTATAACATATTAGAAAGTAGAAAGGGGAGCGTGTGGGGCGCAGTGTTCGGAGGCTCCCTGAAATACACACGTGGGATCGGTCCCCTCACTCATTGCTCACCAAGACTTCCATCTTTTCGGGGTCTGCAAATTGGTTCCAGACTTGTTTGGGAGGATAGCAGCACTGGCTCGATGCATCGGCAGGCCACCGTGAGTCATTCTAAAGACCAGATATGCATTCAATCACCTCCAACGACGCTTAATGAAGTCGAATGCATGGGGCATCCCTCAGGGATTGTTCATCGTCGAGAGCGTTATCCTTTTTTATTATTAGAAAGTATTCTTTTGTTAGTTGTGAAGAATGATGCTCTCTCCTGAATGTGACGTTGTCTTGAGTGAAGCCATGAGTTTTCTAAAATCGTCCTATTCTTTTTATTCGGTTTTCTTTGTTTACCTTAAATGTGGTTGTTCTTATTCAAACGAAAAAATGCGTGTTCCATCACGATTTTTCCTTAACTAGTGTGGTATTGCTGGCAGCTTGTTAAATGTAATTCATGTCGGCCAGCTGTTTTCATCGTGGAAGCAGGCGAGAGTTGAGTCATGGCCTCCTCGTCAGCTCCTCGATAAGTCAGCTGGCCTTGTTTTCTGCTCTGTTTGTTCCGCAAGTAGCTATGACTTTTCGCTATCGGTATCGTCCTTAGCTAGTCCTTTCCAGAGAACCTCGCTCCACCACTTCCGTTCGCACTTACGGCAATCGCCGATTGATCACCGTCAATCTGTTTTCGCCTGTTGTCGGCAATAATCGATCTCGTCGCAGAATATAATCTATACTCCTGTTAATCCATCTATCACCGATCGAACATCAGTCGTTATTGTTCTGCCATAAAAAGCAGTTGCAGTTGTGCCAACCTCTCCTATACGCCCACACTCTGCGTGCACACACACTTACAATTACCGGTTAATCTGTTTGCACAGCGAGTTCACTTCCGGAGAAAAGCGCGCTCAGCTTACAGCGGCTGCGCTACGCAGAGGTCACGCTCGAGCTTACCTTTATTTCCACTGGTTTTAAGCTATTTATTTGTTCTATTTCTTCCATACCATTATATTATTCTCGAATGACGTTTGCCAATTCCATAGATAATTCGCGGAGAAGATTAGCTACAACGAATGGCGTTAAGCAGACACCATCAGCACCACCAACTCCTACTCAACTTCGGCAGCCCCTGGGACCGAAGAACAGCTTGGAGTACTGGAAAAATTCCGTCGATCAGCGAGGTGTCACATATTTTTGGAATTCTCCAGCGAATCCCTACTACGGTATAGAAAGTATCTATGCGCAACAGAAGCCGACGTCTTGGCGCAGTGGACGACGACCAGCACCATTTCCGCTTCAAATTCCTCCACAGCCACCACTGAATAAACCACGGACTCAAGTGACCATCATGTCACAGGGGATATATCAAAACGTGGCAAATTCGACGACAATTCAGAAACCGACGGAGATGATGAACACCACCAGCGCCATTGCGAACGGCAACTTAAATTCTCCATCTGACGCTGCCTACGCTCTTAAACGACCTCAACCATTAATATGGTCCGCGCAAACGGAACCACTAAAAGAACTGAGAGCATTGCCGTCAGTTACTCCTTCAAGTGGTAGGTTTTTTTATTTAAAAACATTTATTTTGTACCAACACAATCGTTAGGAATATTCGAAATATGAGCATATTCTAGGATGCTTTGATAAAATGGCGTGTCCAACAAGAAAGCAACTTATACTTGTTCTCTTAGAGCTTTTTTCCCAGTGGTTTCCACTACCATCATTGATTGTTTGTTCTGAGCGAGCCGATCGCCCTAGCAAATAATCGCCGTTGCTTATTTTAGCCAACCATTTCAAGTCTTAGTTCTGGTATTGGTGAATTTCATACAGTTCTCAAAATAGTGCTATATTTTTGAATGCAGTTTATGTAAAGAAGTTTCCTCTTTTTTCCACAGAAATTTGTCATTTTTGTTAACTTATCGGGAAAAATGTACCTATGACGGCTAGTCCCTACAGTAAGAAGTTGCTGTATTCTTCATGGACAGACCACAGTGGCGAACACCCGTGGCAGATTTCGCATTTCCCGAAGTCTTTTTTGCGTCTACATTTTTTGGCATGTGGGACCACCTGTGCACTTTTGAAGGATCTGTAAAATAAAAAGCTAGGAGTTCTACAGTAACATTGTTTACTATTTTTCGAGCGTTTAAGGACTGGAACAAACATCTAAATAGAGTCGCATATGGTTGAAGTAGATTTTGGAAATAGACTTTCACGGCGTTTTTTCAACTGCATTAATTTTCGAAGTTTGCGAATGCGCAGAGATTTTTGCTTTTTTTTCTGAAAAAGTTTTGAACGCTTGAGATTCCGATTAACAAGTCTTCACGAAAAATCGGTCCCTAGCGTAAATTCCAATTGATTCACATGTTGGTGCTTGGGTGGTATTTTTTCACATGTCCTCAATAAGCCATGCCATGCCGTTCTCAAACAGTTGCCCCTCATCGTGGATTGAAAGGACGTTTTTCACCTTCTGACCAGGTTTCCTATAGATCGGTTGCGATACCAGTGGAAGTGGTTTTCACATAGGATAGCTTCTGAATGAAGAATTCTTTCCACTTCTGCTCTTTCCTCTGAATGAAGTTTCGAGCTTGTTTACAGCATGAGGTGGGGACCTGCCATGGGCTGAACCCTTGCTGTAAAGGTTCTTCTTTCGCTGTGGAGGTATGGAGGTAATGCAGCAAGCCACTGAAGGGAATCAACAGACTTCCAAAGTATAACTTCATTTAAAATTCTCGTTCTATCTAAATCACACAAGAACGTATGGTTAAGTAGTCAAAAATCTTTTACGTATTTCTTAATTATACTTGATAATATTTCTGTTATTTCAATGATGCTGTGATATTTACAAAACTTTGGACCACAGGTTTATGCGGTGGAAAACGAACGCGCTATTGTCGTTTCCGGGGAGCAACACGTTCACCACCACACCATGCGGATTCTTCGTTTCGCATTTCTCTCAGCCAGTTCTATCGATTTCGGCCATCAGCAGTCACCCATCAGTGGGATTGATCTTGGGAGTCCAAATCAGCAATGAACCCAGTTGAGCTCAGGCTTTAGTCATAATCACAATCTTAACCGTTTTATTTACTGCCTACTCTTTTTTATGGCAAGGTATGTTGCGAAATATAACTCCAATGATGCTGAGATATTAATCTCAGCTTAGAGAACTAACTTAGAGAACGAGTTCTTTAAGCTATAGAGATTTTCGCAACATATCCTGCCATTAAAAAGAATAGGCAGTAAATAAAACGGTTAAGATTGATTAAAACTAAAGCCTCAGCTTAACAGGGTTCATTGCCGATTTGGGCTCCCCAGATCAATCCCGCTGATGGGTGATTGCTGATGGCCGAAATCGATAGAACTAGATGAGAGAAAGGCGAAACGAAGGACTCGCGTGGTGTGGGGGTGAACGCGTTACTTCCTGGAAAGGAAAATAGCGCGTTCGTTCCCCACCGCAAACACCTGCGGTCCGGTTTTCAAATATCTCAGCATCATTAAAGTTATATTTTGCAATATACCCTGCCATCAAAAAGAGTAGGTAGTAAATAAAACGGTTAAGATTTTGTTATTTCAATTAATCGTTACTGTGTCGCTAATGGTGTGAGACTATCGGGTATTTGATGAGATTCAGCTTAAAACCTTGAGCCTGTGAAATTTGTGTCATTTGAAAACATTTGTCCATTATTGATGACGTCGATAATATTAGGTTTCATTTATGTAATTTCAGAAGGGAAGAAGCAAAAAAATTCTAAGAATATGGTGAGATTAGTCGATTTAGTCAAAACGTTTTGCATTGGTGATTTAAGACAACTACCAAACAGTAGTGATACTTGGATACTTGGACGGCCCTCTCAGCTAGTTGTGCGGGCGCCAGTGCATTCTCCTTTTTTCTTTTTTTTTCTGGAGACTGTGTCGAGTCATTGTGATTCCATAAGATCCCGGTGTCAGTCTGGCTAACGTCTGCCTCGGGAACAGTTATAATAAAGTTGATGCCAACGACATTGGTTATTTCGATAATAGTCGTAGCAATATTGTAGTAATGGTAGTATCCGCTTGATAACAGCTACGTATTGTATCCGAGATTTACCACTTCAAACAGTTTTCATCACAAAATATATAACCCTAGCATGAGAATGCAAGCGGCGGCGCGAATGTGACGAAACTTCATCACAAAATATGCGACCCCAGCGGGAGAAAACAAGTGAGAATGGAAGTGTGACGGGAGTGAATGTGAATCGCATTAATCTGGTTTCCTCTGGATTTCATTAAAATGATTCGTTTTCAGGCGAGAAGCGATCAGCTCGGCAAAAACCACGATGGGGTCGATTTATGCAAAGTCTTTGCTGTTGTGTTACACCGCATATCGAAAACGGTTCGTAAGTGTCTGATAGTCTGATTAGTTCCAGTTCTTTGTTTACGTCTTTTTTTGCTTATTTTGAATGCCAAATCAAGCACTCAGTTCTAGCGGTGATCTTTTAAGTTATTTTTATAATAGAGCTCAGCCTTTGTCAAGTTATTAACCGGAGACTGATCGGATTATGTGACCCTTCGAAATCTAACAAAATTTTGCTATGTCATTGGTTATCCGTTACATGTTGTGCTACCTCTGTGCTACAAACGACCTTGTCCGTTTTTTTCATACGAAGGGATTGTATCTACAACTAAGGAAAATGTGGAGGCCAACCGCAATAGTTGTTTTCTCTGCTCTGTTGTTCTACAAGGTGCACAATAATGAAACAAACACTGAACACGCTCAAAAGCCCTTTATGTCAACGATAACGTTGTCCAACACCAGTGTATGTTCCTATTTTTGTGTTTTGTGTCAAAATTGCCTTCCTGGAATTTGAATTTAACCATGCGGATATGGGCAAAATAAGGCATTAGAGAGGGTAGCATCAGTACCTCTTTTTAGGTACCGCATTAGCAAACAATGGTCAGGAATTCAGAATGACTACTATTTCGTTTGAAGTAGAAAATCCCTTATAGTTTTATACATCTTTACTTTCTGCTGAATTTAAGGCCGTCAAGCTTTAGCTTAAACTAAAAAAAAGCCGATTATGTGCCACCTTTCGGAAAACCCTGTCCTTCATGTTCACCTTCACCGTCATGTTCATCTTGCCCTTCGTGTTCATCCTGTTCTTTATGTTTGTCTTTTCCTTCATGTTCATCATGTTCATCCTGTTTTCCAAAGTTAACCTATTAATTTCTAGATTAAGTGACAAAATCAAAAACGGAAACAACCATCGTGAAACAACAGGCTTAGAAAAGAACATTTCGAAATTTAACCCGTCAAGGTGTTGGTTCTTCAAAAAAAAGCCCACAATCGATTTTTTACAACATGACACCATTTTTATTACTAGTCTGAGCCCTTTCTTTTCTTGTTGACGAATCGTTGGTCTTATTTTTGAAATGAGATTGATGGGTAAAAGAATAAAGGATAAAGCCGTCGGTGTTGATCGATTCCTGAGGGATGCGCCAAGCATTCGACTTCATTAAGCATCGTTAGAGGTGTTTGAATGCATACCTGGCCTTTACAATGACTCGTGGTGGCCTATCGATGTATCAAGCCAATGCTGCTGTCCTCACAGACAAGCCTGATACAAATTTGCAGACCCCAGGTGCATGGAAGGCTTGGCGAGCCACGGGCACGGGGATCGATCCCATGTGTGTGTTGCGGGACGCCTCCGAACACCGCCCCACACGCGCCCACGAAATTGATGGAAAGAAGAACGATTTTTTTTCGATTTTGAATCAGAATGAGTTACGTTTTCATTAATTTTCTACCTGGTTGGGCTAACACGAGGTTGATGTAAACTTTTATTCCGCTGACGTTTAAGCGACTCGAATCAGCGCGACTCTGAAGAAGACGAATTCGCCGAAACGTTAGCAGAGTTAAATTTTACACCAAACTCATATTAGCTCAATCATGTAGAAATTTTTTTATTATTGCTATAGACTTTTAATGGATGTTTCTTCTTAAGACACGTTTTCATTTTTCATTCATTGACTTATGGTTGGTTTCACAACAGTTTATCGACAAGTGCAGTGAATGATGTCGCTGTCGGACCTCAACCCAGTACAAAAAACCACATCGACGATGTTACTTTGCCAGTTTTTTCTTTCTTTTATTGTCACTGTTCTGTTGCCTTCGGGACAAGACGTGTAAAGAATATTAACAGGTTAACATCCTAACGTGCTTCCCGACTCTTGAGAGCTTTGTGTCTTCTTAGTAGTAAAATTTTGAGCCTTCATCTGCACTATGGGTGCTGCAGGTCTTTTTGATACACGTGAAGATTAGTTGCGAAGTTCCTTTCGCCGAAAGTCCTTTTGATATTAACATATACTGTAATTTTTTGTGGCACTGGAAACGGTGTTATTTAGTCACCTGGTTTCTATGGAGTCAATGTCTAAACCGAAGTTAGTCTAAATTTTTTTGAGAAATTCACTAACATCGCGTGAATGAGCAAGTGGTCTGTCGACTTGGTGTTAGTGTAGTAATTCTTCAATTCCTCGCAGCGTAACTCTTACAAGTTTCCTTTTTGTAGCGGGTTGAAGTCCATCCACCTTAGGAGTGAGGTGAAGATATTTATGTGTGAGTATTGCCGTGAGATATTGTAGATGTTCTTTGCAATCTGATATCATGGTTCAGATTAAGTACTAGTGCTACCAACTCCAAGCTTCCCTAATCGCCATTGTTTCATAAAAATCTTGTATCTGTCCGATGTCTATAAACTAATTGAATCCATGTTCACCGTAAGCAATTTCTATTTGAGCATGACTTGGTTTTATTGAGGACAACTAATGTGCACTGTGTTATTTTCTAATAGTTGAAACTGCGAAGGCGTAACTTTGTCATTCGTGTGACATTGCAGTTATGCTGGTTGCGCTAGAATCCGCACTCGAATGAATGTTTCTTTTGAGTTTTTTTGCTTAGAGTTTACTTAGCGGCTGCCTGTTTTTTGATGACGTTACCTACTGAGACTTGAAGCGCGTGACTTGTTCCAATTGTTAATGCTGGCATTGTGGCACTGCTTATTTGCTCATCTTCGAGTCGCATTTGCAACGCGTCAATAGCCAATGTCAACAGTGTTCGGCGATTTCAAGATGTTACACGATTGTCATGTGATTACAACTGTTGTCTCGGAAAACGCGATTCCAGAGCTGAAATTAGAGCAAGAGCACAAGTTCTCACTTTGGGATTCGATTTGAGGGTTTCGAGGAGCATAATGGTTAAAGATGCTTAGCATACACGCATGATGCTTGGTTCGACACTACTCCGGGTCCAAGACCGCCATCTGCCCTGTTCGATAAATCGTCCTCACGTTTATATCAGAAAAGCAAAACTTCCTCGGATCTTAAAGTTGGCGACTATCTTTAGTGAAAAGACCTGGCAATGCCCTAACAAAGCTGTCTCGGCATTCCAAAGACTATGTACTCGATCAGCACTCATTGAATGAAAAAAACATTCATGAAGAGACGAAGTCATTTTGTAGCAGCGGTCCCAAAGGCAAGTCTGAAGATCTTCGTGAATGACGGACACGAGACAACGAGCTGAATGAAGAAAGTGATTGGATCCGCACAATACGTGGTGTTATACCATACAGAATGAAATTAAAAATATTCGGTTGGATATGTTCTCAATCTTAGTTAGCGGAAGACTTGAAAGCTGGGTGCCCGGTTTTCATCTGTTTCCTTCCCAGTTTTCTTCTTAAGTGCTCATGAAATTGTTGTCTGGGATTGGATTTATTCGTTGATCGTTCCAGATCTAATTCGATACGTTTTAGTTGTTGAGGATAGTTCATAAATTAGGCTTTTGACGTTTTCTTAATAAAAGATGTCGCCATCTAGAGTTGCGGGAATAATTGGGGACTTAGAAGATCCAAATGTGTTCAGTTTCACTTGGATTTGATAAAGTGATAGGTGCAAAACGTGCGAGCGCTCGTGAATATGTAAGATTGGAGATGTTCGATTCATGATTTCCATTGTTTTTCTTCTAATGGAGACATTCATTTGGAAGCGTTTAGTCTCACCAGTGTAGGTAGACGCTTCGAATAAGTAGTAGACGTTTTTCAAGCGTTTACACTCGTTGACCAACTAGTAGAAAAATGATGTATTGTTATCTTATCAGGTAAGGCTTGTTGTTTTCCACTCTTTGGTCCTCATACGTGGGTAATCACACTCTTATGCAAATATATTGCAGCTACATGACGAAGATTAAAGAATTACTTTAATAAGGTGATGTAAGAGGACGAGTACTTATACGCGACATTAATGGTGTTTACGGTAATCATGGAATAGATGAGCTGAAATGCTCAAATAAAAGAACACACCATCTGAAAGGAGTTGTTACTGAAGTAGCCTTGACTCTTTTCACATAGTATTTTTACAAGTGCGTAGATGTTAACATGCAAAGGCCTACAGAGCGCTTCGCGGCCAGTAGCAAAGCAAATGCATGGAAAAGCTCTTATTGAGCACTTTACTACAAATTTATAGCATGAGCAAACTTTTACAACATGCATGATAGTAGGAAAAGATAGGGAGTGTTCTCTGAGTTAGTTGTCCTCTTACTACATTGGTAGCCGATTAAGTAGCGAATCGCTACCAATTAGAGCAAGCAAAAAATAAGTGAATAATGCACTTTTAAATCACATACCATACGATGGGATTTAAAACTGCTTAGTGTTGGTAGTGTTTTCGGATTCTTTGCTCATAAGCTGAAACTTGGAAAAAAAAAAACAAAAAGTGGTTGGAGGCGCCACTGCGACACACACGTGGAATCGATCCCTGCTCCCATGACTAACCAAGCTCTCCATCCCTCCAAAGGTGCGGAACTTGTCTGAGAGGATAGCAGCACTGTCTCGATACATCGGTAGGCCACCGCGTATCATTGTAATACCCAGGTCTGCATTCAATCAATATCTTACTTCATGGAAGTCATCGACTCTTTTGCTCTTTAATTTCATGAATGTACCTAGATGGAAGTAGATTTTCTTCGAGTGCTTGTTTTCACGTTAAAATTTTATCTCAAAATTATGGGACCTTATACCGATGGATTTTCTATTGTTAATCTGTAGATTTGGCGCATTTCAGGTCTCTTTTCTAGTCTCGTAAAATTGGTTTTTCTTTCTGTGGCGTTTTGTCATTTTATATGAAGACCTAGTTACAAAAATATTTTCTCTACTTCGTTCCTACCCAACACTCATATATTGCTTTAATTTAATGTCTCAGCGGTTCTTACACATTTTAATTCAACCGTCTTAGCGTTTGCCTTGTACAACATGCTAAAATGTTCCATTAGTACTACAGGTGGTATTATAGAAATAAATATACCTTTCGTTATCTGGATCAGCAGTTTCTTCAATAAGCTTCATTTTTTCTAG